TAGGGCACAGTAGTGCAATACAGCTTCTTCCACCATTAAGAGCTGTGCATGACAATAGAACCAATAGTGCTGAAAGTAGCATTAAACACCAACAATCAATCAATCAATCAATCAATGTCTTCAATAATTATGGCATACTAAAGTCTAAGCCATCTTAATTATGCCAGTTAAAATTATTTGAAAAACAAAAATTCATCTGAACATGATCATGTGTTCAAAATAAAAATTGTCCTGAGGTCTGAAAATTGTAACAAAAAATGTGCTGAAATTTTAACATTTTTGATGTATCAAACAATAACTCAATTCTTTAGATTGCACATACTTTGTTGCACTTTGGTATATTTAAGAAAAAAAAAAATGAATAAAAATGTATCTGATACTGCAGAAAGTTTGTGTAATGACAACCTTTGAGTTATTCTAAATTTGAATTAAATTTATTAGTTATTATATTTGCCATATTAGAAAAATAAATAGATATCCAAAAACCTTTTAATTGGCTAATATATTTATAATTACTATTTAAACATCAAGAGTTACAAAAATAACAGTAAATCATGTGAAATATTGACTTGCAAATTTATCTTTGATAACCTTTGCTTCAGTAGTTACCCTTTAAGTATCAACCATTTATCTTGAAATACCTAGAGGAGATGCAAAGAGTAGAATAATTCATCAGCAGTGAGATAGGTATTTCATTTACAGGTAACTGGATTGCTGCTACATGAAAAAAAAGCTCACAATGAGAAAAATGAGGTCTCTTTTGTCGAACAATTAGCTCTCCAACTGATCCTCTCTGATGATTTCTAGGTGATAAGCAAGTTTTGAAGCAGCTTGGCTGTATCTGTTGCATCCTTCTTCTTTAAGTGTAGTGGGTTAGGTGTGATCAACGGAGTCACCAAACTTTGAATTATTTATTGAGAGGGATTGTCTACATAGTGGAATGTGAAGTTAAGGGGTAATGTTAGTTTCTTTTTATCCTTGATAGGTGCCTGTATGAAGTCCCGTCTTATGTGAATAAAGGAACAAGTTGATGAATGAGGAGCAAGGTTCCAAAAGCAATGTCATTTATTTGCTATGCCCTTTTTCTCCTTTTCTGCAAATTTTTGCCAATTCTCTTTTTTGAATATTATTTCAAGAACTGATATATTAACTTTTTCTCGTTCTGAATCTGTAAAACAATGTGCTGTCCATCTATTAGAAATTTATTGAAATTCAAATTAATTTGATATAAATTTAGTGAAAGTAAACTTGAGATGGATTTGGCTGTTATATTATTAATTTTAAGCTAATTCAAAAAATTTGATGTCTTTGGCTCCCTTAACTTTGTTTTTTTCTGGCAGTCCGTCTGAAGGTTATTTCTTAAACCAGTCTGGCACACTGAAAATTGTTAAACATCCAATTTTTACAAGTTTGGTAAATATCTTTTCATTTTTATATAAAACTATAAATGTCCTTCCATCATTATCTAGTACCTCATTTAAAAAATTATTTTTATGTTTTGAAGTATCAACATTAACCTGGGGGTTTACTAACATGATACTTCTTAAATAGGTTGTTAAGTATTAGTGGTGTGATAGAATCGGCACTAGGGAGAGAGAGATTGAGGAATGGTATTCTAGTAGGGGCTTAGGGTACTAATCTGATGGAAGGATAAGATTGCTTTGATATTGATTTAATATGTAAATTGGGTTGAAATTGACTGGTGTTAATAAATAACTTTCAAAAGTCAAATTTCCACAAATTTGGTTGATTATGATTATACCTTCTGATAATTACTGAATACAGGACAGTTAAATTATCAATCTCTTTTAGTAATGAAATGTAAAATTGGAATTTTTAAATGTACATTTTGGACCATATACCTTTCACTTTTGAGGGATCTCTAAAAATTAATGTTTTGTTTTTCTTTTAAAAATTTCCTAAATTAAATATAATTTATAATTTTTGTGGTCAGTTCTTAAATTTCCTATTTAATTTTTTTTTTTTTTTTTTTTTTTTCATTTGCCCTTTCAATTTCTTTTGACCAATTATATCAAAACCTTTTTTTTAACCGGGAATATATAAATGACTCCCTCAAAATAAATATAGATGTATCTTTTTTGATGGGTATATTTTTGCAACAAAGTGACCATTTCTATTGGAACCAACTACTGTAAACCAACTTATTTTGGCTCATAGTATGCTCCTCTTCTAGTCTAATAGCTGAGCAAAATGGGTCTTTAACATTGGTATTTGCTTCTCGTATTTGCTTCTCCTTCACTATTAACAAAGGAATTAAGGATTAAGAGCAAAGACTAACTGACTTTGAAGTCTTGGATGCTGCGAAACAGTTTTTCTTAGTAATTGTTAAAAAAATTAAAATTGGCTCATATGAAAATAGGAAGATATGTTATGATTGCCAATGAGACAACTCTCCACCAGAGACCAAATGACATAGAAGTTACTGTTAACAACTATAGGTCACTGTACAGCCTTCAACAATGAGCAAAACACATACCGCATAGTCGGCTATAAAAGTCCCGGAAATGACAAATGTTAAACGATTCAAACAAGAAAACTAACAGCCTGATTTATGTACAAAGCAATGAATGAAAAACAAATATGATATACAGCAATAAACGACAACCACTGAATTACAGGCTCCTGACTTGGGACAGGCACATACAGAATGTATCAATTAAAAAAATGATATGTGGGATAATTGCATCAATGAAACAGCAACCTAACAACATTTACAAGAAATGACCAAGAAACATTGAAAGGTAAACATACAGTCTTCAACAATAGGTAGTCTTCAATACAATATGTCCAGCTCTAAATGATGTTCTAGTACAAAAAAATGAGATGTGATATGATTACCATTAAGACAACTTTCCATGCAAGACCACAGGTCAAAGATGTGTATCACAGTAACAGTTATAAGAAATTATATGGCCTTCAACAATGAGCAATAGGAAGGATTCATATTCTTATCATGTTAACATATATGTTGTACAGTTACAGAGGTCATTGTATGGCCTTCAACAATGAGCAACAGACAGGATTTATATTACATTTACATATGAAAATTAGTTGTGATATGATTGCCAGTGAGACATGTATATATCCATTCAATCGTTCATCTTTTTTACATGTTCCTTTGTTCATGTGAAGTAGACTTGATTCAGGGGCTGCTTGAGAAAACCAAGAGGAGACATGCATTGTCCTTTATTCTTCACTTTCCTCCATTTAGGCATTTCTTTTATCAATATTCAAATTTTTTTATTTTTTTTTTATTTATTATTGATTTGTATTCCTAAATAATAATTCAAAGTTTGTTGACTATTTGATCCTATCTATAATCCCACTGAGCTTGAAATACAGGATACCACAGATACAGGTAGGTCTGGTTCATATCTTGACCTTAGCCTCGGAATTGTCAGTGAGGTCAGTTGAGAACTATAAATAATTACAACAAAGGAGACTTCCATTTTCTTATTGTGAACTTACTGTTATTATATGGCAACAATCCAGTTATACTTATATATATATAAATTACATATCTCCCTGCTGATAAAATATTCCACTCTTTGGATTTGCTAAAGGTGTTTCCGTGATAAATGGTTGCTGCTTTAAAAGGGTATCTCTGAACCAAGTGTTCTTTATGGTGAAGTTAAGTCATTTTTTTAGGATGATTTACTGTTGACTTAAATTCTAGATGTTTAAAGAGGCATTAGCTATCAAATTCATGTTCACCGATTTGACCCAAATTCTCTTATTTGATTTATAACATACTAAAACGTATATTTATATTATAAAAAGTGTAAAATAAACAATTTACGTTGCATGTACTTGATAATATCTATCAGCATTTTGTGTGTATTTTAGTCTAGACTCCATCTAATTAATCACCGAGGTGACCTCCAAAGACTGCCGACAATCATATAACCCGATATAAATATAAATATAGATATAAATAGATAGCGAACATGTGCAATTGGATTTTTTAGGTCTGTTTGATTTCATATTAAAGGTTAAAAAGTATGTTAATCAATGTTTTTGCCTGTATAAGAAAGAGCATTCTAGCTATATATACCTGATTGTCATGGCAATGGTGAATAGTAGAATTTGCTTGGAAGAAAAATTTGAAAAAAGTATAGTGAAATGAGAGCTTATAGAATGAAAAAAAAATATGTTGGAAAACCAATCTGACAGAATTACGAGATTTTTTTTGCTGTTTGGTATAGTCAGAGAGTTGAAAAGTCTGAATAGTATATTAAATTGAAGATAGATGTTGCAAGATTTTTTAACTAAGAATAATTCTCTGAACAATAATAGACAGTATCTGTGGTTTATTGGTGAATCTCTAGACCTCCAACATTACTGGTAAGAAAATGGAGGACAACTGTTTTTGGTGCAGACAAATCTCACAGTGCATTCCAGTGGTGATTGCTTGAAGAATTGCAAAATAAGACTGCCATTTGGTGATAACATATTGAATATTAACTGAGTTTCCATCTGAGTCAGAAAGGTAGATTGTTGAGTATTAAGGAGACACAGTTGAGCCGTTTTACAGGCTCTAGACTACAGAGTATTAACCAGTTTCCAAGGAATTTACCACCAGGTATAATTATTTTATAAGGGCAAAAACTTTGAATTGTTCATGCATGCCAATCTTAAATTTTTTCCTTATTTCTATGTTTGAATTTTACTATTGTAAGGCTTTATGAAATTATGGAAAACAGTGTAGTACTAAAATTTTAGATCTACTGTTTTTAGAAAAAATTCAAAAATGGGGGGGAGGAGACATTATTAGTGCCTTTGGGGGGAAATAGTTTACCTTTTACCAGAATTGATTGCAGGCAACAGTGTTAAAAATCAAGTCCCCTCAATTTTTCAACTTGCAGAAATAAAAATTGAAGCTCTAATTTCAACCTGATACAATACGTTCAAAGATCCTTTTGAGGTTCCTATTTATAACAAAAATAATAGAACATTGCCATTGTGTGAGGTTCCTTATGATGCATACTAATGTATTATGGTCTGCTGAAGAATTTAACAGCTCATTTAGACAATGTAACAGAAGGGATATGGTGTATTAAAGCATTATGCACTTGACAAAACCAAAATAAGGAACAGTATTGTTATTACAACTCTTAATTTCAAAGTACATACATGAAATACTTGCCACTGGATGTTGACCAAGCAACAAAGAATCAATCATTTCAAAGATGCAGTGAGGCCTTCAACATGGAGCTAACACCTCAATGCAAACTCCTAGCACTTGGTTGAGGGAAATATTTGCTAAATATGGATCACACAACAACTGATTAACAAAATATATGGCCTCGGTGGTCTCCTGGTAGTAAAATGGTATTGTGCTAGCTTGACATCAAACCAGAGACTTAATAGGTATTTGGTGCTCCTTCTCTTGAGGGCGGGGCATTTATGAGTAAGAACAAAGACTGGTCAGCTTGGAGTAAGAATAATGTGTCTTCCTGCTGACAGTTATCTTGTGAGCTAGCACGTTTAAAATTTGGTCTAGTACAAAGCAGGGTTTATATTCATATCACATTAACATGCTTGTCCTAAACATGCATTTAATTTGCAATTGGAGGTTAAACATTCCATCACATTAACAATATACAGACTTTATAGGTAAATGCATACATGTACTGTCATAAGCATATGCCATTGTAAAATTTAAAAACAATACAGACATCTCAATAGTTACACAATTTTGATAAAATGATTTCAAGTCAAATTTCTGTAAACCAAACATGTCAGTCATAATAAATTATATAATTTTTATTCTAGATTTTCTTATAGTTAACTGTGAGATGAATTTCTTCAAATTGAAGCTGTTGGGCATTTCAAATCTAGGATCTATGACAAGTGTGATGATTTCAGTTTTCATGTTGTCAACATCTCGTTCTTGAGTTGATCTGAGGACTTTGGAACTTAAGATTGTATAATACTAGGTACGTGTTTTCACATTGTTAACACTCTTGATTTAGAAATTACTTGCAATTTCTATTTATCAATTGGATATTATTTTTAAAAGGGGAGATAATTCAGACAGGTCATCATAAGAAATCAAAAGAAAACCTTTTCAAAGTATTTTAAAGTTGTGAGACATTTTGCAATAGAGCAACATCTTGTATTTCATAGTGATTTGGTTTTATGAATAGAGGAAGTTCAACATTTTAACATTTAATTCAGATGTATTTTTTTCTCCTTGATGAGAGATATTAAAGGGAGAGAGTGAATTTCCCCTAGAAGTGACTTGTTCAATCAAATGATTTCATTTTAACATTTATTTTCAGATTGATGCTGTATTAACTATCACACAATTTTTAACTTTTGGAGAAGGTTTCTGGCAGAATATTCTGTAAAAATTAATGGTAAGTGTTCAGAAATACAGGGTCAAATATATTAATAAAAAAGGTGTGATATGATTACACTAATGAGACAACTCTCCATGAGAGATCAAACGACATAGAAGTTAGCAACTATATGTTATCAAGTAGTCCATTTTCCAATTAAAGACTTTGCTCACAATTTAAAAATGTTTTGCAAAAGGAAATTATATACACCTCAGAAAAACGAACTGTATCCCAACTATACAAACATTGTGGAAATTGATGGTTTTGTTGTACATCACCTTTTATGAATTTTCAATGTGTAATCATTTTGCATTTGCATTTTTACCATAAACACATGTATAATGCTCTTACAATATATATATGACTGTCAGATCTCTCACAACACATACATGTTCTACTTGCTTGGTATAGGCAGGTATACAGTTTGTCATGCCTTAATGGCATTATTTCCCTTGCAAAAAAATAAAATATTTTAACTATACATTTTAGAACAAACCTATATAGATATAAATATAACATTACCTTGGTTGTGGCATAAGCAAACCAACAATTGTTATTGAAAATATGGCAAAAATTATTAAATCTGTAAATATTTTTTTCAGATGTACAGCTAATCACTGTTATGAATTAAACTTGGGAGAAATACTCAAGGAGAAATATGCCATGGGAACAGCTTTGAACAAAAACAAGGTTGGTAATCTTGGTTGAATAGGGTCAAAATTACCTGTCCATCTTTCATCTTGTATTTCTCGGTGATTGCAGCATTTACCTTTTGTTTGATCCCCTTCAGGTGGAGGGGGTCTTTTATCAATTATTACATAATTAACTGTTGGATGAATAGCTATTGTTGGGAGTCCTTCAGAGAGAAAGGAAGTGAACTTAGAACAAAATTTTAAATAGGAATTTTTAAGAGGTTTTTCTGTACTAGACAGTAACCAGTTTATCAAATGGGCAGTGCTTTTGTTGCTGTTTTTCATCTTATTGTTTGTTCAAGAGATAAACATCTCATGATGTACTAGACAATAACCAGTTTATCAAATAGGTAGTGCTCTTATTGCTGTTTTTAGTCCCCTACTGACGAAGTCGAAGGGGAATTTAGGTTTGCACTCCGTCCGTCTGTCTGTCTGTCCGTTATGCCTGTCCATCTGTCTGTCCTTCTGTCAGTCCGGCAAATCAGTTTTCCACACTTTTTTTCTTCATGCTTGAAGATATTGATTTGATATTTGGTATATTGTTTTATCATGACAAGTTACAGATCAAGTTCAAATTTTATTCCGGTCTGATGATTTTGTGCAGAGTTATGGTCCTAGGACTTAGAAAATTCACTCAAATAATCAGTTTTCACACTTTTTTTCGTCATGCTTGATGATATTGATTTGATAATTGGTATATAGTTTTATCATGACAAGTTACAGACCAAGTTTGAATTTTGTTTCGGTTTGATGATTTTTTGCAGAGTTATGGTCCTTGGACTTAGAAAATTCACTTAAATTATCAGTTTTCCGCACTCTTTTTAGTCATGCTTGAAGATATTGACTTGATATTTATTATATAGTTTACACCATGACAAGTTATAGATCAAGTTAGCATTTTGTTCCAGTACAATTAATTTTTAACCGGTAGGGGACTATGTATTGCCATGCAATACTCTCAGAATGCTTGTTCATTTTATTGTTTGTTGAAGAGAATAAAATCTTACTATGAACTAGAAAATAACTAGTTTATTAAAGAGCAGTGCTTTAATTGGTGATCTTCATCTTAAAGTTTTTAGAGATGAAAAAAAAAGTATACCTATCAGCAGGATCAAGAGAGGCTGTGAGCATCAGTAATACAGTGTTAATTATATTTTTTTTTATCTTTAAAGTCCATGAAAAATCTCACTGTATATACTTGTTAAAGTCTAATGGGCAACTATAGCAAAAACATATGAAAATAATTGGCCTAGTGGAAAGCTAGTGTTGAACTTGATCATTGGAAGATTTAAAAAAGGGCACTGAAATAGAGCCTACTGGTACCAGATATTGCTAAAATGTTTTGAGGATTGTGTTGGTCATTTTGAATAATACTGAACAGTAACCTCAAAAGATAGCTGTAAAGGATTTTATCCTTTGAAAGAAGTGCAAAGTTAGAAATACATGATCATGAATTAATTGCTGGTTTTGATTTCATTTTGTAGATTGAAGTGCTTCTGATCCAGGATGTGATGAAATCTTGTCAGAAAGTAATCAGACGACTAAGGACTAAAAAACATCTCCTGTAAACTTAAAGATGAACTCATAGATACAACTGTGCAGATTAAAATGTAGAACTTGAAAAAAAAAACTTAGCTGAAAGAACTCAAGAATCATTCAACAAAAAAACTCCACTGATGAATTTTTAACCAACTCAACTGATGAATTTACAGATATCTCTACTGATGAACTTGGCATGTAAATTTAAAACTGAACTGATAAGATAAGGACATACTTAACCATTGAACAACAGAGTGAAAACCTTAATTTATCTTCAATTTTTAAAAATTATGATGGTGATGGTAAGAGAGAGAGAGGGGGAGGGAAAGAACAAACATTGTGCAGGTGAATTCCTATTCCACCAAATGTTTGGCTTATGTTATTAAAAAAAAATAAAAAATCCATTAAAAAAAAGAGTAATTATTAAAATCTTGTACCTTCTATATGATAAAGCCTTAGTGTTTGGTTGAATGTCTTTAGCCTGAAGAGAGAGAGAGAGAGCACCTTTTGTATTTATTTTGATATTTTTTGTGGTGTATTTAAAAATAGATAATTAGGATAGAGTATAGTAAACTCCTTTTTAGCTCACCTGGCCCGAAGGGCCAAGTGAGCTTTTCTCATCACTTGGCGTCCGTTGTCCGTCGTCTTTAGCTTTTTACAAAAATCTTCTCCTCTGAAACCACTGGGCCAAATTTAACCAAACTTAGCCACAATCATCATTAGGGTATCTAGTTTAAAAAATGTGTCCGATGACCCCGCCAACTAACCAAGATGGCCGCCATGGCTAAAAATAGAACATAGGGGTAAAATGTAGATTTTGGCTTATATCTCTGAAACCAAAGCATTTAGAGTAAATCTGACATAGGGTAAAACTGATTATCAGGTCAAGATCTATCTGCCCTGAAATTTTCAGACAAATCTGACAACCTGTTGTTGGGTTGCTGCCCCTGAATTGGTAATTTTAAGGAAATTTTACAGTTTTTTGTTATTATCTTGAATATTATTATAGATAGAGATAAACTGTAAACAGCAATAATGTTCAGCAAAGTAAGATCTACAAATAAGTTTTCATGACCAAAATTGTCAGTCGACAGTCTAATACTATTAATTATGATTTTAACCTTATTTTACATGATTTCCAAAGCATCAGTAAATACAGGTGAGCGACACAGGCTCTTGAGAGCCTCTAGTTTTATTATAATAATGTTTAGTATTTAGAATGTATTTTTTTTTTACATAAATAAAAATATTTATTACTTATATATCAGATGTATGAACTTTCAATGAGGTCATTATGTATAGTTCTTGATAATGTCAAGGGTGTAAAAACTCATTAAAGATACCAGGCTTAAATTTTTGTTCGCCACACATAGGTTTCATCAACACACCAGACTTGTCAGTGGCTCTCGAATCATAGCAGCTGGAAGGACAAATCAATTAAGCATTTGAAAAACATTGGAAACCATTCAAAAATTTCAAAAGTTGCGCCAAATCTGGCTAAGGCCTTCCATTCCTGGGGTAAAGAAACCTATTTCAAATGAATTCCAAGTTTAATGGATAGTTAAATACAAAAAAAATTATGTGAAAATAATTTCTCACAGGCACATACATACAATCTTGAGTAACAAAATGCATCTGATATTTTATATGGGAGGATTGGTGTTTTGGTTACTTAAATTTTATCTATTATTTGTACAACTTGCTAGTTAGTTTTTAGTCAAGTTTAAATTTTTTTTAATCAAGTTTCAATTTTTTTAATCATATTTGCTATTTTTTTTATCTGTGTCGCCAAAGGCCAAAGTAGGTCTAGTAACCGCTCGACTCTGTCCGTCTGTCCGTCAAAAAGTTTTCTTTGCTTCTATGAAAGGGAATGATTTAATATTTGGTCTACAGCTTGATAACGTTGAGTTGAAGCGAGTAAGCAATTTTTACATCCACCATGCATTCATTTCCTGTTTCCCGATAGTTTGAAATTTTACAACACTCATTATACAAAGAAAATTTTTGTCAAACTTTTCATGGTTCTTATTGAAGGGAATGATTTAATATTTGGTCTGCAGCTTGATAGGGTTAAATTGTAGGGAGTAGGTAATTTTTTCATCTACCATTTAGCAACTCCCTGTTTGCCAATATTTAGAATTTTTTGTCTCGCCTTGACGGAGTCAAAAAGCGAGACATAGGTATGCTGTTTCCGGAGTCAGCGGCGGCGGCGGTTTCAATAATGTATTAGTTTGTGATTAGGTCTAGTTCATGGTGAACCACTAGTGGTAGGTCAATGATATTTGGTATGCAGTTGTATTAGCATTAGCACATCTCATTACCATGGAGATTATTTGGCCCCGCCCCCTCAGTCAAGGTCTATTGACTTTGAAACTTTGCTTAGTTTACATGTATTAGTTTGTGATTAGGTCAGTTTATTGTGAACCACTAGTGGTAGGTCAGTGATATTTGGTATGCAGTTGTATAAGCATTGGCACATCTCATTACCATGGAGATTATTTTGCCCTGCCCCCTCAGTCAAGGTCTATTGACTTTGAAACTTTTGCTTAGTTTTCATGTATTAGTTTGTGATTAGGTCAGTTTAAGGGGAACTGTTAGTGGTAGGTCAATGATAATTGGTATGCAGTTGCATAAGCATTAGCACATCTCATTTCCATGGAGAATATTTGGTCCTTACCACTCAGTCATGGTTTATTGACTTTTAAACTTTTGCTTAGTTCACATGTATTAGTTTGTGATTAGGTCAGTTTAAGATGAACCACTTATATTAAGTCAATGATATTCAGTATGCAAATGTATTGGCATTTGCAAGTTTCATTTCCATGGAGATTATATAACCCCACCCCCTAATTATGGTTCATTGACTTTGAAACTTTTACATAGTTTACTAGTTACTGTTTGTGTTTAGGTTTGTTTAAAGGGAACGACTAATGAAGAGTCAATGGTATTTGGTTTGCAGTTGTATTAGCATTGGCACATCTCATTTCCATGGAGATTGTTTAGCCCTGTACCTTCAGTCATGGTTCATTGACTTTGAATATTTGCATAACTTACATGTTAAAGTATTGCTATTTTAATTTCAACATTTGCATTGTCAAAATAACAAATAGGTGAGACATATCTCTGTGTTAACAGTTTATTACAACACTCATTGTACAAGAAAAATTTGAATATGTACTTCAAATGTATAATTTTATTGTTGGATTGCCATAAGAGTAATTATCAGATGTGTATTCTTACTTATTAATAGGTCATTATTTAGAGCTCTGTACAAAAATAAGCTTGTAAACAAAGTTCTAGGTAACTGGCCATTTGGGATGGTGTAAAATATATAGGAGGGGGGGGGGGTTATAATTATTTGTTATAATGTATCTGCTTTAAAGAACATCTGATAATTTTATCTTCATAAATTCATACTTTTTTTTATTTGTAATTAATTGTATTAAAGTTGTTATTTTTTTCCTATGCGAGTGAGATTATTTAATTTAAATAAAACTTATTTCGTTTAAATAAAACTAGCTAATTAAACATCAGGTTTATATTTCTTGATTTAGTTAAAAAGGGAAGTTCACAGAAAATTTGCCACAACAATAAACTTGACATTTGATTTAGCTCACATGGTACATTGTGGCTAAAATTATGGATCTGTTGGTCTTCACTGAAATGTCTTTGTTAGCTTATAATTGCCATCACTTGTCTTCTGTTGTCTGTTTGTTGTGCATTAACAAAAAAATACTTAGTCATCATCATCTTTCTGAACCACCTCAGTTTTCTTAAGACAGCTTACTAAAGGAGAGTTAAACCAAAGATTTAACTATTGGTATTTGCTTCTTCTCTTCTAAGAATTCTCCATTTAGGAGTAAGAACAAAGACTGGTCGACTCAGAGTCTGTAATGTTTGTTTGAAGATACCAGGCCTATAATTTTGTATGCCAGATGCACATTTTGTTTACAAAAGACTCATCAGTGATGCTCAAAAAAGAATTTTAAAGGCCAATTCAAATACGAAGTTGAAAAGCATTTAGGACCCAAAAATTCCGAAAGGATTTGCCAAGTACAGCTAAGATAATCTATTCCTTTAAGTAGAAAATTCTTCATTTTTTTTTCGAACAATTCAAAGTTTTGTAAACTGCTAATTTATAAATATGAGGTTTATATTCATGTCGCATGAACATGTGCTCATACTGATATGCTTGTAATATTTCCCACTCGATGTTAAACACTAATCCAACATCTCTGAAACTACCGGACTAAAAAAAAAACATTGATCTATCATCTTTGAAACACAGGACCAAATTTTTTTATACGACCGCAAAATTTTTTGTGGACATATATTGGTATCATGTTGTCCCAAGACATTTGGTTTCCGGACAATAACTATTGTATATGTAAATAGAAATCTATGAAATTTAAACACAAGATTCATAACCACAAAAGGAAGGTTGCCATTGATTTTGGGGGTTATGGTCCTAACAGTTTAGGAATTAGGGGCCAAAAAGGGGCCCAAATAAGCATTTTTCTAGTTTCCAGACAATAACTTGTGGAAAGGTGTGTGGATCTCTCTGAAATTAGACCACAAGTTTCCATACCACAAAAAGGGATGGTTTGGATTGGCTTTGGGGGTTATGGCTCAAACCGTTTAGGAATAAGGGGCAAAAAAGGGGGAAAAAACAAGGGTTTCCTGGTTAATGGTCAATTACTTAAAAGTACAATGTTATGTTTGGATTACCTCCCTTACACTGCTTTTAAATAATGTATAAAAAAATGTTGTATTGTCTTGAGGTGATTAGCTGTCAATTTATTTTTAGAAGTTACTATTAAAAATGCTAATTTTAGCCATGATTATGTATGCCATTTTCTATTTTAAGACTTTTATGATGTATTTAAATGGATAATTATGGTTGCAAACTCCATTGGAAATTTGAATTGAGATTATGACCATATCTTGAGGGAAAGAAGTTTTTTTTTTGAAAAAGGGGGGGGGGGGGGGGGGGGGGGGGGGGAACAATTTTTTTCTCATTTCAGATATTAAAAAGAAAATTTCTTCAAATATTTTTTTTTTTTTGGCAAAAAAAGGGGGGGGGGTCAATTCACAACAGCATAGTGTATTGCACAAAAGCAAAAAATTGAATATAAATTCAAATCATATAACCAATTCTTAGTTCTTTGACTACAGTTATTCTGTGTCAGAAACCTATTATGTGTCAAATATTTAATTAGAATCCAAATTCAGACCTGTATCAAGCATGAATATTGTGTCCATTTTTGCCCCAACTGTTCAGGGTTGGACCTCTGCAGTCGTATCCAGCTGCGCTCAACGAAGCAATTTATTTATATTAGATATTGAGAGACCCCAAACCATAACTTGGTTTTGCAGGAGTGGCTAGACATAGGGATGCTCATCCTAGAGGGGCTGGTGACAGAGTGTAATCTATCGGTATAAAGCTTTGTATTTTAGAATCGCGAGAACCTTGATACTGCTTATTTTGTATACGATGCTCCATGGTTTGATTTCTGTCTGGCAATATGTCTTGTGTGTGACCTTGTTTTCATTTTCACTGCATAAAGAGACGTATAATAGATTTTATCATATGCTTTTTATACCCCATGCAACGAGTTGCGGAGGGTATAATGTTTTTGACCCGTCCGTCTGTCCGTTCATCTGTCCGTCCGTCTGTCTGTCTGTCTGTCCGTCAGTCTGTCAGTCCTGTTTCTTGTCATTGCAACTCCTCTCGAACCACACAACAGAATTTCACGAAACCTTTTTAGATAATAAGGACATACTATGTAGTTGTGCATATCGACAGGAAATTACGATTCAATTCTTTTTCTAGGAGTTACGCCCCTTTGAACTTATTTACTTTAATGTACTACTGCAACAGTTTGTCATCGCAACTCCTCTCAAACCACACAACAGAATTTCATGAAACCTTTTCAGATAATAAGGACATACTACGTATATGTGCATATCGACAGGAAATTACAATTCAATTTTTTTTCCAGGAGTTACGCCCCTTTGAACTTATTTGCCCAATATACTACTGTAACCGTTTGTCATTGCAACTCCTCTCAAACCACACAACAGAA